CCAATGATAAAAAATGGACACCTGTACATAGTTCATCACATTTATTAACAGACACCTGAGTGCTTTCGTGTGCTTACACATCTTCAGAGGATGTGAAGATGTGTGTGTAAGCACATAAAAGCGATCAGGCTTTATTTCCTATTTTCTCTGGGTAGTTTTTGAATATTAAGATCTTTAAGTATGTGAGTAGGTAAATATTTAGGGATTGTGTAGGTTAATGGGGAGATGACACAGATTTATTTACCTCAATCGTTACCCAGGCTTTCTTGTCACATTTTCAAATCGTTGGTAGACATGGCTATAGAATGATTTTCATTACTCGTGGAGTTTCAGAATGATACACAACCATGTCCTTAGCATTAAGAGATAAGACTCTGTTATGATTTTTAACCCCGAAGGGTTAGGCATCCAGTGGGTCATCGAGGACTGTCTTGTTTCCATTGTGGGCCTTCAATTTTATCCCCCCAGGATGCCACCCACACCAGTCCACTAACACCCAGCTATCTACTTACTGCTAGGTGAACAGGGACAGCAGGTATAAGGTAACATGTCCACCCATGCCGGGAATCGAACCGCGGACCCTCGGTGTGTGAGCCTGGAACGTTGCCTACCAAGCCTCGGGACAACGAAACATTCTAAACACTGTAAAATAACCCACTTCGATAAGCCATTTGAAGAAAATAAACAAAAATTTTACAAGTATCAAACAGGTCACAGCTTAAACGTGTACCGTCTTGTGCTGCCTCCTGGTGAACAAAACAAGAACAACAAGGTGTACTGTTAATAACTGATCTACAAGTATGTTCATTTTTTCAACAAATCACTCGGGCGATTTTGCCCATGTACAGCAAATTTTTTTTTAGATACAGTAGTTGAAAATGTACTCTGACTGTTGTATTTAAGTGTCCAGAAATGTCAGAGTTAAATTTTCTTCAGTTTTACGAGAAAATGTGTTTAAAGTTGATAAATATTACAAATCTACTCATACAAATCTGCTCTCTGTATATACCCTCTTGTTTCTGAGTGGTGCAATGATGTATATATATATATATATATATATATATATATATATATATATATATATATATATATATATATTGTGTGTGTGTGTGTGTGTGTGTGTGTGTGTGTGTGTGTGTGTGTGTGTGTGTGTGTGTGTGTGTGTGTGTGTTAGAAAATCCACTTGTTCAAATTAAAACACGTAAAACAGACTGGCAGTATATTTCGGCCTCTAACTGGCATCCTTATCAGTATTATGCACAAGTGAGAGAAGTACAAGGTTATGGAATGTAGCAAGACAGTAGATGGTACTCTTCATCAGAATTTTAAGAAGCACTGCAGTAGGCCTACTGGCCTATGTTAGAACACATAATCAGGTGTCATGTCAAAACTCTATTGCAAAAAAAAAATAGGCAAAGTATTGTTTGTATGAGGCTGGTGATTTATATGGGGGATAGCATCTGGTTTCCATTGTCTTTTTTGAAGATCCACTTCCTCGACTCAAACAGGATTGCCTCTCGCACCCCCATCCACTACCCAACTCTCTGTGTATACAGTGTTACCTAATTTCAAGAAGATTCCTATTATTAAGTGTTCCTTTAAAGTCAATACATCACCAATCGGGCTGTATGTCGGTTTGGGTGCGGCCAGCAGTAATAGCCTGGTTGATCACGTCCTGATACACCTTGAGGCCATGGACTGGGCTGGGGGGGGGTGTTGACTCCCGGAACACTCTCCAGGTATACTTCGGGTATTGCCTCCCTATATTATTACCAGTGGGTGGTTGGGGTTGGTAGCGTTCTGAGCTTACACACTGAGGGACCTGGGATCGATCCCCTTCACGAGTGAAACGTTGTGCATGTTTCCTTACACCTGCTGCCTCTGTTCACCTAGTAGTAAGTAGGTACCTTGGTGTTAGCCGATTGTTATGGGTCGCATCCTGAAGGACAAGACTAACCTAAGTTGCCAGAAATGCTCTGCATAACAAGGGGCCTTTTATATAGTATGTCATTGGTGTCAGCTATGGTCTGTATAAGTTGTATCATGTACTGGTAGAAACAAAGTTAATTATATTATATTTATTATTATTATTATTAATTATTATATTATTATTATTATTTATTATATTATTTATTATTTATTATTATTATTGTGCTCAAGTAAGGGATATATGGAACATACAACATTATGCACAAAAGAAATATAACAAACAGCCAGGATTCGAACCGAGGTCACCAGCTCTGCACGAGTGTAGCTCTAGCTCCTGGCCTGGGTACTAACCATGAATGGCTGTGATGTTTCTCAGTGAACACTTTCGCTTGTTTTCGCAAACAATAGTAGTAGTAGTAGTAGTAGTAGTAGTAGTAGTAGTAGTAGTAGTAGTAGTAGTAGTAGTAGTAGTAGTAGTAGTAGTAATAGTAATAATAATTTATTTCAGCTTGATGCAATTTTTATACAGAGATAGAAGACATTTAGCTGTGAATGTAGAAAGTCCGTAGTTAGGCAGAGAGCATTTAGGGCAAACTGTTTCATTTGCATACTCCATCGTCGTGTGTGTGTGTAGGTGAATGCTTCAACTTCTAGTTGTACGTGCGAAGCTCTGTCTCCTGGTCCCGCCCTCTGACCTTCTCTAGAGTGGCGCAGTTAGTTGCTAATCCCTTGAGTACTGTCGCACTTAACTTATTGCCTTTGTGTACTGAATGTGTGTGTGTGTGTATGTGTGTATGTTGTGTGTGTGTGTGTGTGTGTGTATGTGTGTGTGTGTGTGTGTGTGTGTGTGTGTGTGTGTATGTGTGTGTGTGTGTGTGTGTGTGTGTGTGTTTGGGATTATGTAGATCAAATCTCAGCTGTTGTTTTTCAAATGAGATTTTTGTATTTAAGAGAAAATAATAGATCGTTTCCCCACAGTAAATATCTCTAGATGGTACATAATAAGACAGGGTGTACAGGAGGGCCTCGCATATACAGCACCTCTAGATGGTACATAAGAATATAGGGTGTACAGGAGGGCCTCGCATATACAGCACCTCTAGATGGTACATAAGAATATAGGGTGTACAGGAGGGCCTCGCATATACAGCACTTCTAGATGGTACATAAGAATATAGGGTGTACAGGAGGGCCTCGCATATACAGCACCTCTAGATGGTACATAAGAATATAGGGTGTACAGGAGGGCCTCGCATATACAGCACCTCTAGATGGTACATAAGAATATAGGGTGTACAGGAGGGCCTCGCATATACAGCACCTCTAGATGGTACATAAGAATATAGGGTGTACAGGAGGGCCTCGCATATACAGCACCTCTAGATGGTACATAAGAATATAGGGTGTACAGGAGGGCCTCGCATATACAGCACCTCTAGATGGTACATAAGAATATAGGGTGTACAGGAGGGCCTCACATATACAGCACCTCTGTTCGGTGTTCGACCTTCTCGTTGACTTTCAACTGAACCATTGTTCCAGCAGTGAAGGTAACGCAAAGGTGGAACACTAAAAATACGGTGCTGTATACGCGGGGCCCTTCTGTATATTAAGACAAAGAGTTTAAGAGAGTGTATACGAAGAGAATGTGTGTATTAAGATAGTGTGAATCGCATGATAGCGTATGCCTTAAGATAGTTTTAAGATAGTGTACAAGTTACTAATTTCTTGCAGCTTCCCTGACGCGAGATGAGACAGACTTCACCCACCATGGCTGCTCTTTCTGTCCTCAGGATCACCTTACTGCTGACAGTCTACTGCCTGTCTAGTGGTAAGTACTCTTGCTGTTGTTGTAGTAACTCACCTGAGTAACCCTCTGTACCCCTCAGCCTGTACTCTATCATTATCTTTATTGGTGGATTGATTTGGATTAAAGTCTATCGACTACACGAGAGTCATTAAGGCTGCAAATAATGTGTATACCTTCAGTTAACGATGTTCAGATCTTTAAATAGGAATTAAAATAAGTACTCAGTGTATATACTCTGAGATATACACATTTATTGGTTTATATAATCCTTGTTGTTCTTGTTATATATATATATATATATATATATATATATATATATATATATATATATATATATATATATATATATATATATATATATATATATATATATATATATATATATATATATATATATATTCATAAGTATGGAAATAAGGCGAACATTTTCAGTCTATTGGAGACCCTCCTTATGAATTATTTCTGTACTGCTGGATGCTGGTTTATTGTTGTCAAAGGTTTTGTGTTTTATATAAGAGGGAGAGAGAGGGAAGGAGATTGTGTATGTATGTGTGTGTGTGTGTGTGTGTGTGTGTGTGTGTGTGTGTGTGTGTGTGTGTATGTGTGTGTGTGTGTGTGTGTGTGTATGTGTGTGTGTGTGTGTGTGTGTGTGTGTGTGTGTGTGTGTGTGTGTGTGTGTGTGTGTGTGTGTGTGTATGTGTGTGTATGTGTGTGTGTGTGTGTATGTGTGTGTGTGTGTGTGTGTGTGTGTGTGTGTGTGTGTGTGTGTGTGTGTGTGTGTGTGTGTGTTGTGTGTGTGTGCGTGTGTGTGTGTGTATGTGTGTGTGTGTGTGTGTGTGTGTGTGTGTGTGTGTGTGTGTGTGTGTGTGTGTGTGTGTGTGTGTGTGTGTGTGTGTGTGTGTGTGTGTGTGTATATGTGTGTGTGTGTGTGTGTGTGTGTGTGTGTGTGTGTGTGTGTGTGTGTGTGTGTGTATAAAGGCTCTATTTCACCTTGTTTCACAGAAGCTATGGATTGGAGGTTCTCCCTTTTATTCAAGGTCATTTTATCCCGTATTGTTGTTGTCTGTGGGTGAAGACTCTGTAGGGACAAACCAAAGATCATCTTTTTCATGAAATCCACCGATACCAATTTCCTCACCAGTGTCGACAACACCTCTGTCAACGACACCAGTGTCGACATCACCGGTGTCGAACGCATCAGCTGGGAACCAAACAACGAAGGCGCCTCTCGCTGCTAAAGTCACCATCTCACCTGAACCAGCACTCACGGAGAGTCCAGCTCCCAGACAACAAAAACTGCAGCTGACCCAGTAACCACTGAGCCCTCTAAGTCAAATACTTCAGTGGTTACTTCAGTGACAACGGGACTGATAGTAAACCCTTCTCCGGGAATAATATTTCTGCCTTCGCCAGGAACTTCAGGTTAATTTCACTCAACAATACCAGAGTCTCCCACATTTGTCACAGTGTCAGCCATCACCAGGGGTCATTATATATAGTATTCCTGGGTATTACTACCCTCTTTCAAGCTTACCTATGTTTATTTGCTTATCTGTGTATTTTAAGCGCATCTTACCAAAAAAATCTTTTCCCAGACACACAATGATAAAAACAGTTACTCACGAAATCATTATTACACGATAAGAAACCACGGAACGAGCGGGGATTGAACCCATGGTTCACTTGCTATTAGTTCAATTCCCTCCCGTTCCGTGGTTTGATAAAAAAAATAGTCTTTCCGTTGTAGTTCGCTGGAAAAGATTTTGGCCTACACCAAAGTTAGATGTCTTGCGAGGGCCTGCATGTATGGGCAGGTCACTTGCTGCCCATATTGACCTAGCAGTAGATAGTTATCTTATTGTTAGTCTCCTCCTCCAGTGGGCAGTAAGTGGTATCATACCACTACAGAGAAAGTTATGGGATTCCATGCGCTGAAGCGAGATAACGGTCTCTAAATTCTCGGTCTCTAAATTCTGGGTCTCTAAATTCAATTCCTTCAAAATATTAAGTTCTCCAGTACGAGCCAGAATTGTCACCTTTCTAGTTATCAATAACAGCTAATTATCAACCCACTAGTAGCATAACCCATTAGAGACTGCCAACCACCGATTAGCAATCTCTAATGGGCTATATTACTTGCCTAAAACACTAAATATATAAGTGAATCAATTCCCATATGCTTAAAAAGGACTTATATAACGGTACATTTTCTAATTAAAACATTTTTTAAAAATAATTTACTGTAAACAGAAGATATTACTACCAAAACCGAATTCAATGAATATATGAAGAGTAAAGAATTAAATGTATGAGATACCCATCTTAGTAGTAAACAGTAAATTCATAAACAGTGAGGACGGGTACAATATGTTACAATATTATTAAACACACGGGGTAAGCATCCCGCCTTTAGGGGGTCACAAAACATCTCTGGAAAGGGAGTGAATCATATTTGATTCCATGAACAGTAAGTAGGTATTATCCAGACATAAGTAATGTATTTTTATATGTATTTACATATACCGTATCTATCTATCTATCTATATATATATAACACCGAGAGGTGTATGTGTCTCATTGTTTACAGAGATTACTTTGATCTTCGCCTTCACTGATGGGTACAGGGGATGTGCAACCTTAATGACCCTCGTGTAGTCCCTAGGCTTTATATCAAATTAACCAATCAACTATATAAATATATATATATATATATATATATATATATATATATATATATGTATATATTATATATATATATATTATATATATATATATATATATATATATTATATATATATATATATATATATATATATAATATATATAATGTCGTGCCGAATAGGTAAATCTTGCGATTTTGGCTTAAATAGCAATGCTCTTCTTGCCGAATAAGACAAGTGAAAATTTTTGTATGCAATAATTTCGGAAAAATCTTTCTGAACCTGACGAAAAAAATATATTTCATTGTGTTTGTTTATTATTAAATTATTGTAAACTTATCTAAAATATATTTAGATGACTGGTTCAGAGAACCGACATGTTGATAAATTAGACACATGTGCAACTCTTGGGTATCTTTATTGAGGAAACGTTTCGCCACACAGTGGCTTCATCAGTCCATACACAGGAGAATCTTGAAGAACGACCTATGACTGCTGCACCTCTCCTACCAACGGTTTATAAGCTCCTTCTCAGCACGTATGCCGTATTCTATTCAAGATTGATGGACTGAACACATCGACTCAAGGTTGAGGGACTGATTACCTCATTCTCCTCCTGTTCTTCAAGATTCTCCTTTGTATGGACTGATGAAGCCACTGTGTGGCGAAACGTTCCTCAATAAAGATACCCAAGAGTTGCACATGTGTCTAATTTATCAAAATATATTTAGTTGGATTAGGCTTAATTAAATTGCGCTTGTTATAATAAAGTTAGGTAAGTTTTCTAAGGTTCTTTTGGTACAAAATTATTAATTTTTACATTAACATAAATGAAAAATAATATATCTTTAAACTGTATTGAAAATTTAAGAAAGGACTTAATTTTAAAGGAATTCTTGCTAATTCACCAGTTTTACCTATTCGGTACGATATATATATATATATATATATATATATATTATATATATTATATATATATATATATATATATATATATATATATATATATTATATATATATATATATATATATATTGTTATTTTATTAGTATTATTATTGTTATCATTATTATTATTTTTATTATTAATGTTGAGAAGCTCTTCATCCGTATGGGTCATAGAGCGCCTGGGAACGGGAGATAGTCAGGGTTGATGTATAAATAAATCGAGCACAGATTCACTTCCTTGGATCAAGAACCCATCACTATCTTGCAAATACTCCCCTAGAGGGGGAAATTGTATCATTCGCTCGTGAGAGGCTCTTAATCCAAGGAACTGGAGTTTCTCTCTCCTTCCCTCGAATCAAACCTGATTACCTCCCACTTTTGATCTCCCATAAGAAAAGTTATACGTGGGAGTACGTGAGTCAGTATGTGGGAGTACGTGAGTCAGTATGTGGGAGTACGTGAGTCAGTATGTGGGAGTACGTGAGTCAGTATGTGGGAGTACGTGAGTCAGTATTTGGGAGTACGTGAGTCAGTATGTGGGAGTACGTGAGTCAGTATGTGGGAGTACATGAGTCAGTACGTGGGAGTACGTGAGTCAGTATGTGGAAGTACGTGAGTCAGTATGTGGGAGTACGTGAGTCAGTATGTGGGAGTACGTGAGTCAGTATGTGGGAGTACGTGAGTCAGTATGTGGGAGTACGTGAGTCAGTATTTGGGAGTACGTGAGTCAGTATGTGGGAGTACGTGAGTCAGTATGTGGGAGTACATGAGTCAGTATGTGGGAGTACGTGAATCAGTACCTGGGAGTACGTGAGTCAGAACCTAAGAGTACTTGAGTCAGTACATGGGAGTACGTGAGTCAGTATGTGTGAGTACGTGAGTCAGTACCTGGGAGTACGTGAGTCAGTACCTAAGAGTACTTGAGTCAGTACATGGGAGTACGTGAGTCAGTATGTGGGAGTACGTGAGTCAGTACCTAGGAGTACGTGAGTCAGTACCTGAGAGTACTTGTGTCAGTACATGGGAGTACGTGAGTCAGCACATGGGAGTACGTGAGTCAGTACCTGCGAGTACGTGAATCAGTACGTGGGAGTACGTGAGTCAGTACGTGTCTTGTCCCCCAGTGTCCGGCACGTGCCCTGAGAGCGACCAGATCCACTGTGGCACCAGCGACAGGTGCACCAGGATCAGGTACATCTGTGACGGCGACAACGACTGCGGCGACAACACTGACGAGGACAGTACCTTGTGTGCGGTAGGTGTGTCGTTCTGGTGTGTCGTCGTCGTGTGTGTCGTTCTTGAGCGTGTCATTCTCGTATATTTTTGAATGTCGTTCTGGTGTGTGTGTGTTGTTGTCGTGTATCTCATTCTTATGTTTAGTTCTTGTGTGTGTCGTCCTTATGTATGTGTTGTTCTTGTGTGTCGTACTTATCTATGTGTTATTCTTGTGTGTGTGTGTGTGTGTGTGTGTAGTTATTGTGTGTGTGTCGTTCTGGCGTGTCGTTCATGCTTGTCGTCCCTGACTCAGGTGTATAGGAGAAAATATGACTGTTTCACGTCTAACTCCTGGATCATAAGTCAGAGACCTAAATTAGTGCAGTCGATAGGCTTTAAACCCCATTAGCAAACTAAAATTGCGTTCTAGATGATCATTTACGGTACAATGCTAACTCTAGACGGCTGTTGCAGGCTTGGAGGAACACAGACTGCGAGAGAAACCAAGCCAAGTGTACAAGAAGTGGACGGTCTGACTGTGTCACCATCAGTCACTACTGTACACTCACCAGTCCTCCGTGTGAGGGCACTGTAGACCAGCGTCTCTGTCAGGTATGTAAATATGTTTACAACACTCTGCACACTCGACTCGATCCCTGCAACCACGTATAGGTGAGTACACACAAGTAAGTAAGTAAGTAAGTAAGTAAGTAAGTAAGTTTATTCAGGTATACACAAATACAGTTACATAGAATTATCATACATAGCAGCATATGTGTAGAGAACCTAGGATAACCCAAAAAAGTCAGACAGAGTGACTTATTTCCATACGTACATACGTACACTCCCACATACACTCCCACATATGCACAAACACAACCACAATAGGACAAAACGGTAGCTAACAAGGATATAGAAAGTTTCTCCAACTGATTATCAGCAAATACAAGGATGTGAAGATTTGGGAGGGTCAAGAAGACCAGAAACAGAGCACAGACTCTGTCCCCATAGGCTGCAGACTTCATCCAGAAAGACCAAAGAGTGAGCATAGCTCCTGGTATATGACCAGAGGCTCACATCAGCTGAATAACCTCTGCAGCTAAGGCTTGTCTGGTGCCACACATTCCCATCCTCGAGTATGCAGAATCGTGATGTAACCCACACATAAAAAAATGTTAAGAAATTGGAGAAAGTGGAGAAGTAAGCAACGAGACTTCCAGAGTTCATGAGTCTGCACTCCGAGAACTGACTCTAGCAACAATGGAGGAGAGAACAACGAGGGGAGAAATAACAACGACATTCAAAATACTCAGGCACCACTGCATCTTGATTTATCCTGATAATTCCTTCATAAATAATATCCTCTTATTTTACACTAAAGTGTAACCCAAAGCATATAAGGCGCAGGCTTATTTTCCAAGACTTTCTGTGGGAAAAAAGGTGCGCCTTATATGCCAGAAAAAAGGGTCATTATATTTGCAACGCCATTTTGGTTTCCTTCTTATAGTTTCCTTGTCTCTCTTCCGAGTGCAGATGCTGGCCAATGGCAAGATCCGACCTCTGAGAGAAATTCAGTTACACACTACCACACCTGCTCCCACAGGTGAGTCCCCGGCTGCACACTACCACACCTGCCACAGGTGAGTCCCGAGTTGTAGACTACCGCACCTGCCACAGGTGAGTCCCCAATTGCACACTACCACACCTGCCACAGGTGAGTCCCCAGTTGCACACTACTACACCTGCCACAGGCGAGTCCCCAGTTGCACACTACCACACTTGCTCCCACAGGTGAGTCCCCAGTTGCACACCACCACACCTGCCACAGGCGAGTCCCCTGTTGCACACTACCACACTTGCCACAGGTGAGTCCCCAGTTGCACGCTACTACACTTGCTCCCACATGTGAGTCCCCAGTTGCACACTACCACACCTGCCACATGTGAGTCCCCAGTTGCAGACTACCACACTTGCTCCCACAGGTGAGTCCCCAGTTGCACACTACCACACTTGCTCTCACAGGTGAGTCCCCGGTTATACACTACCACAAGTGAGTCCCCAGTTGCAGACTACCACACTTGCTCCCACAGGTGAGTCCCCAGTTGCACACTACCACACTTGCTCCCACAGGTGAGTCCCCAGTTGCACACTGCCACACTTGCTCCCACAGGTGAGTCCCCAGTTGCACACTACCACACTTGCTCCCACAGGTGAGTCCCCAGTTGCACACTACCACACTTGCTCCCACAGGTGAGTCCCCGGTTATACACTACAACAGGTGAGTCCCCAGTTGCACACTACCACACTTGCTCCCACAGGTGAGTCCCCAGTTGCACACTACCACACTTGCTCCCACAGGTGAGTCCCCAGTTGCACACTACCACACTTGCTCCCACAGGTGAGTCCCCAGTTGCACACTACCACACTTGCTCCCACAGGCGAGTCCCCGTTATCCAGTTTTTCTCTGGTAACTATTTTCTCTTAACGATTTGGCTCGCCCGAGTGACCAGATTCCTATACTCAGTTATAATCTTATTACTAGACAGATACGTGAGAATTTTGGGTGTGAACTGGACCTGCCATTGGGTCTACCGAATACATCCTTATTTTCCTACGACACTATTTATGCTTGTCCTAATTTCCTTATTTTCTTTATGTAGTTACTGTGTCTTGAACGAGCAGGTTCCTTCAGGTAACAGAGATCTCTTTGGCCACCAGAGCCCTTTACGTAACTAATTTCCATTTGTTGGCCAAGTTCGTTTAGAAAATTGCACCGAAAAGCAAAGGTCCTTTAGGATTTTGCCTGGTGGTGACCATGATGCGTCCCAGATGTTATTTGAGAAGCATCCGGTGCTTCCATTGCTCTCGTGTCTTTAGGTGTACAAGTTCATCTGTAGGTTTTGACGAATTTGTTCACTCGTGGTATAGTGGATTCATTGGTGGTCTTGCTCTCGTGAACTCACTAAATCGATCCGAGATCCTCTATAATTAAATACCCTGTTTCCCCTTTTTTGACCTGTCTTCCCTTGTTGACCTACCTCCCCTTGTTGATCTGCTTCCCCTTGTTGACCTATTTTTCCTTCTTTGCTCTCAGTCCTTGTTTACCTGCATCCCCTTGTTTACCTGCTTTCGAGTCAAGGACACCCCAGAGATATATAACATAAAGATAAGGACGGCGTTGTGGTACGTGATAATGGACTCAGGTTTGGTGGTGGCATGCACATCGTCTTTCTGCCAAAAGCATAGAAAAGTATAGAAATGTAAAGTGGTGTTTTATAGAGGATCCTGACGAAGCTGAGATGGTTCTGAGGAAGCCTGGATAGTCCGGATAGAGTAGAAATAGTCCTGCTGGACTAGATATGATCCTGGTGGAGCAGATATGATCCTGACGGAGACGTGACGGTCTTGGAACCGAGACAGTCCCAGTGAAGTCCTCCCACAAACATTAACACGCGTCGTGGTCTTGCAGAACCAGCACCCACTGAACCATCCATTCACGTGAGGGAGGAGAACTTTGCGGGTCAATTCCTAATGAAGCTGAACAACACCATCCGACATCCTGACTGCCCCTGGCTCTACACCAAGGTCGGCGACCAGTGCCTCTCCATCTTCTTCGTCGGTAACGTAAGTGTCTACCTGTCATTCATTTATCATCTTGGTAATAATCTAAATGCCCCGTAGCCCAGTTGCTAGCGCACTCAATTCGCACAATGAGGTCCATGGTTCGATCCTCGGTACATGAGGAGACATTAGGATGTGTTTCCTTAAGACACCTGCTGTCCATGTTCATCTAGCAGTAAATAGGTACCTGGGTGTTAGTCGACTGGTGTAGGTCACATCTGGGGACAAAACTAACCTAATTTGCCCTAAATGCTCAGCATAACAAGGGGCTTTCTATATAGTAGTAGTATGTCATTGATGCCAGCTATGGTCTGTATAAGTTGTACCATATAATTGCAGAAATAAAGATTATTTTTATTACTAAGAGATTACATGCGCACTTTTCCCCCCTTAATAACATGTTAGCTGCGGTCTTTTGACTAGCGTGTTTATTGTCATGTATATGTTGATGGCTTGTTATCAAATCTGTGATTTTTTAAATCACTTTAAATGGCTAAAGAAAATTAACCTTGGCATTGTGTTTATATAAAATATAGCACACGCTGCTGTAGTGCAGAGATGCTTCCTCTGAATTTATGTGCTTGGAAATCCTCTTTTTTACGGCAATATTGCAAGCTCCTGATGTGTTGATTGGAACACGAAAGGCCTAGAGCTATCATTCAACTTCCCCAGTGGTTGTTTTGCATTTTGTATAGCTTGTTCGCGATTATTACGTATGTTACTATGTATGATAATTGTGCATACGTGTACCTATCCCCCACATAAACCTACTTACTGTTGTCTGCCAAGCGTACTCAGGCCAGTGGATATTAATTAATGGAAACACTTCCTGTCTTCAGATGAGCTGGATGGAGGCGAGGACCTTCTGTCAGACTATAGGAGGAGATTTGTTCACCATCACTGAAGATTTCAAGGCCTTTGCTGTCCTCCTTCAGCACTTCATGACTCACCGTTAGTAATTTTGTTATTCTCGCCAACACCTGTGTGTGTTTTATCCTTTTAAACCTCCAGGGTTAGTGATCCATAAAAAGTCTTCTCATCTAACTTCTACTATATGTATAATGTCATCATTAACACCTTATCCTGTCACCACCACCACCTGTCATCACAGGCACTGAACGAAACAGAAAAAAAACTTATCTGTAAATTTTGGCCTCATCTGTGCCCCTCTTCAGCAGGTCTCTTGAATATGACTTTTCAACGAGACCGAAATATACAGACATATTTCTTGTGTTTTAATTTGCCAACAAGAGATTGCTCCGTTTCACATCCATTATCATCAAAAAATAACGAAAATCTCTTTAACAAATCATCAATAATTATTATAATTATTATTATTATATAATAATTGACAGAGATGACTGCAGACTTCTGGATAGGAGGAAGGTACATCAATACGACAGTAGGCTGGACCTGGATTAATGATGCACCGTTACCCTTGGGTTCACCTTACTGGGCTGTCAGGTAAGCTGGTCTATTTTCCTGTGCTACCTGAGGTCAGTCTATCACTGCTGCGCCTCTGCTAGACACATTAAAGTTCAACTCAAATATCTGAACTTTCCTGGAGAAGTTCACAATGGAGAATAAAGTGTACACGAGCAGTACGTACCCCGATTATTATAATAAAAACTAAGTGCTAAACCCACAAGGGTCACATGGTGCTGCCCTGTTTTTTTATTTTTTTTTTTTTAACAAGTCGGCCGTCTCCCACCGAGGCAGGGTGATCCAAAAAGAAAGAAAATCCCCAAAAAGAAAATACTTTCATCATTCAACACTTTCACCTCACTCAAACATAATCACTGTTTTTGCAGAGGTGCTCAGAATACAACAGTTTAGAAGCATACACATATAAAGATACACAACATATCCCTCCAAACTGCCAATATCCCGAACCCCTCCTTTAGAGTGCAGGCATTGTACTTCCCATTTCCAGGACTCAAGTCTGGCTATATAAAAATAACTGGTTTCCCTGAATCCCTTCACTAAATATTACCCTGCTCACACTCCAACAGATCGTCAGGTCCCATATACCATTTGTCTCCAATCACTCCTATTGAACACACTCATGCACACCTGCTGGAAGTCAAAGCCCCTCGCCCACAAAACCTCCCTTACCCCTTCCTTCCAACCTTTTCGAGGATGACCCCTACCCCGCCTTCCTTCCCCTACAGATTTAAATGCTCTCCATGTCATTCTACTTTGATCCATTCTTCTAAATGACCAAACCACCTCAACAACCCCTCTTCAGCCCTCTGGCTAATACTTTTATTAACTCCACACCTTCTCCTAATTTCCACACTCTGAATTTTCTGCATAATATTTACACCACACATTGCCCTTAGACAGGAGATCTCCACTGCCTCCAACCGCCTCCTCGCTGCTGCATTCACAACCCAAACTTCACACCCATATAAGAGTGTTGGTACTACTATGCTTTCATACATTCCCTTCTTTGCCTCCATAGACAACGTTTTTTGTCTCCACATAAACCTCAATGCACCACTCACCTTTTTTCCCTCATCAATTCTATGATTAACCTCATCCTTCATGAATCCATCCGCTGACATGTCAACTCCCAAGTATCTGAAACATTTCACTTCTTCCATACTCCTCCTCCCCAATTTGATATCCAATTTTCTTTATCTAAATCATTTGATCCCTCATCACCTACTCTTTTCTATGTTCACTTTCAACTTTCTACCTTTACACACACTCCCAAACTCGATCCACTAACCTTTGCAATTTTTCTTTAGAATTCTCCCATAATTTGCTTATCATCAGCATAAAGCACTGTGTCAATTCTCTTTTTATTTGATTCCCATAATTTAATCCCACCCCTCTCCCGACACCCTTCAATTTTCTTTTACAACCCCATCTAAAATATTAAACAACCATGGTGCAAAACACTGTGTCTAAGCCACCTATTTCGGAATTATTCCCTCTCTTACCCACCCCCCTAACCCTGAGCCTCACTATCCTTCATAAAAGCTCTTTACAGCATTAGTAATTCACTATTCATATACTTGCAACATCTGCACATTGCTCCTCTATCCACTTATCATATTCCAATGGCGAGGATGTCTAGTACATCTGAGTAATACAATCATATTAGTAAATATATACAATTAGATTATATCTTGGTGTAATAATTCCTTGATAGATAAATATCTCATGTATATCCATGGAGATACACATCCTGGTTATATCTAGTTATATACCGAATACACACTGAGATATAATATATTTCTAGCTGTTATCATACCTTTATTGATATAAACTCTTACCGATTGAACTTAACATTCTTTTCATTCCCAACTATGTTCAGGTGCCAGTACTGCGATATTTTCCATAAGGAATATTGTGGGAATGTAAATATTAGTCCATTTCAACCCCCAAAATTCACTATAAAACGACTTACTAAATACTTACATAATTGGTCGCATCTTGGAGTGTATCGTTAAGCGGGAGTACCACTGTACAATAGATACAAACCATTGCTATTGTGTAAGTATACACTGAGAAACATACATCTGGTTATGTATACACTGATATACACACCTCTATTAGTATATATAAGCAGGCCCCACTTATACAGCAGGTTAGGTTGCAGGCTACTACTGTAAAGCAAAAATCGCTGTAAAGTGAATCATAGCCTTTTTTTCGTTTCAAATGCATATAAAAGTCGGATAACATGTTTACCCTATCATATATTAAGTTAGCAATATAGCCAAGCTTAAAAAATGCATATACAGTACACACATTACTTACCTTAAAATATTTTCGCCCTTAGCTTAGAGTGAGTGGTGAATGTATTCATTGCAGAAAGTCTGAATAAATGAAAAAATGGGTATACAGTGGACCCCTGTTAACGAAACGACTTTTAATCCAGTAGTCTCATTCAGGTCCAGATACTGACCGAATTTTTTCCCATCAAGGAATATTGTGAAGAATTAGTCCATTTCAGACACCCAAAATACACTACAATCAAGTTACATAAATACAATGCATAATTGTCGCCTTTGGAGGTGATCGCTTAAGCGGGGTCCACTGCTAATTTGAAAACTGCTGCATTAGTGAAATGCATGTTAAACGAAGATTTGTAAGTGGGATTCCACTATTACACTGAGAATAAAAATTAGTTGTAGACACAGACTATAACACTGAGATGCACACCTTTAGGAATCCATTAATAACACTTCAAGGGTATATATTGTAATATATAACACCTCTGGTTGAAATTATAACTGCACATACTTTGTCACACATACCATCTTTGTACCAACAGTTAGCCTAAAATGATAATTAGCTTTAGTGTTCTAGACATTTCGTATTAATTATTATTATTATATCAAAAAGAAGCCTGCCACATGGCTATACAGCGCTGCTTTCGTATTAAATAGTCCTTTCACAGACTATTATTAATTAAAACACATATGCAACAGTTGATACTTTATTTTTGAAAGTTTTGCCTACACAGTAGGTTTTTCAGTCAAATACAGAGGCGAGTGTAAGAAAATGAAGATGATGTAATCAGTCCCTCAACCTTTCATCAACACTGCTGCCTTGTATTTAGGAAGCCTATGGCCTTATGCTGCATTTGTCTATTTCCCTCCTGTTATTTATTGACATTATCTATGACTAATCTGGTTGACGTTGGTCCCTCAGACACGGAGCGGTGCCACACGCAGAAAACTATCTATCCTCACCCACTGCGGAGCAAGACTAGAGTTACAACTATGTACAAGCACCCAAGGACCCCCCTGTGGGGCACTGCAGCTCACTCGACTACAAGTATTACTACTACATTGCTGATGACAACTGCTTTATCAAGAAGAGTCCCTTGTGTGTGCTGCCTGGCGAGCACCCCAAGCAAGCTCAGTAATGCCGCCTCTGTTTGCTGCAAGACAAGAGGAGCAATCGTTCCCCACTTCTTCTGCTGCTTAACCCCATAGGTAAAGAAATTAATACAGTATATAAAAATAAAATCTGACCACCGGCTAGCTGGTTGTCACAATCAGGCCTTTTATTGGAAAACTCGCGAAATCGTAATGACATGATTGCAAACAAACCACGGTCAAAGTGGGGATTGAACTCACAGCTAGTGAATCATAAAATGCGTCGGTCTGGAGTGTTACAACTCACTAGCTGTGAGTTCAATCCCTGCCTGTATCTTGGTTTCTTTTATTGGATTGTTATTATATCTCTTAGTAATTGATATACATGGGTTAATAACCTCCTGATTCTGCCAACTGAACTGTCTTGTACAACATTATTGTTTATGGGGATTTTTAAAGCATTTCATCATGGGATTTGAAGGGAAATATTGCAGCAATAAAAATACAAAAAAAGTAAGTGTGCAGTGTATGAATATTTACACATGCATTTATGTATACTGACATGCATGTAGTGTATACTATGTGTAAGAAATAGCCTGCAAGATTTTCCTATTAATTTACATGTTTATGAGACAGACAAGAGACCAGCAATCCTGACGGAGTACAAAATATAACAGTTTTTGATTTCACATTCACCTGAGAGGATGGTAGTACCTCCCTGGGTGGTTACTCTCACCACTCTACTACCCAGGATGCATGGGAAATGTTGCATTTTTGGGAGAGAGCTGTTGCACTTGCACTGTGGCAGGAGAGCTATTGAATGAGTGATGACGAATGTTTCATATTTTGGGTCGTTTTACTGTGGTGGAAAATAGGTGATGTGATACAGACCATTTTATTTTATTGTACTGTACAGTATATACAAAAAAGGTGCTAAACCTGTCAGAACTATTACTCTTAGAACTATTTATGAGATATGTAAATTGATATTTTATGCTGATTTTTTTTGTTTTGTATAAGTCTTGAACAGCTGTGTGTCTTCAGGCAATGAACCACCAAAACAAAATCTATGCAGAGCCTCTTCTTTGCATGGCTGGCCAACTCTCTAAGTATTAATCATAAAGAACCTTAATGTAAATTGTAACCTGGCTTCTTCAAGCAGGCCTTCTACATCTCTGGGTGAAAGTGTTAAGCTGGCTACCTCCAACCATTTTTGAACCATCCCTCACAAGTACAGCCAGGCTACTATCCCAGCCAGGCATGTCACGTTTCTTCCTCTACCCCACCATGGTTCAGATGGCCATCTCTCTTCATACATTACAGTAGTTTGTTGAATACTGACATTCATAAAAAGGATGTGCCCTTTTAACAAAATTACATGATTAATTATTTTTCAATTTAAGGGTCATGTGCCAATCAAATAATTATTATTTTAATAGAGGGATGCCATGCCTAACCTGTAGGGTCATGTAACACCTGGGAATGGAAGGCAATCAGGTTTGATTGAAGGTTGACAGATTCAATTCCTTGGATGAAAGCCACTCACCAGAATTGAGGAACATTCCTTAAGTGGTGTGCCAAGTAATGCTGTGAAGGTTCCTTGATGCTGGTAAAAGGTTCCTTGATGCTGGTGAAGGTTCCTCGATGC